CCTAACCTAACCCTAACCTAACCCTAACCTAACCTAACCTAACCCTAACCTAACCCTAACCTAACCTAACCTAACCCTAACCTAACCTAACCCTAACCTAACCTAACCTAACCTAACCCTAACCTAACCCTAACCTAACCTAAATCTTACATAATCAACCCCTATCTCTCCTACATAATCCCCTACTACACTTATCTCCCCCTAATCCTATCACAACTACATTACCTCCCTCTACTCCTAATCCTACTACCTATCCTAATCCTAATCCTACTACCTATCCTACTACCTATCCTAATCCTAATCCTACTACCTATCCTACTACCTATCCTAATCCTAATCCTACTACCTATCCTACCACCTATCCTATTCCCCCTAATCCTACTCCAACTACCTATCCTATTCCCCCTAATCCTACTCCAACTACCTATCCTACCACCTATCCTATTCCCCCTAACCCTACTCCAACTACCTATCCTATTCCCCCTAACCCTACTCCAACTACCTATCCTACCACCTATCCTACTACCTATCCTACCACCTATCCTACTACCTATCCTACCACCTATCCTACTACCCATCCCACTACCTACCCTACTACCTACCCTACTCCTACCACTTATCCTACCCTATTCCTACTACCAACTCTACCACCCAATCTTACTACACTATCACTCCTATTCCTATTCCTATTACCTACACTACCCTATTCCTAATTCTATTCCTATTACCTACACTACCTACCCTATTCCTATTCCTATTCCTATTACCTACACTACCCTATTCCTATTCCTATTCCTATTACCTACACTACCCTATTCCTATTCCTATTCCTATTCCCATCCATACCAACTACTCCACCTACCTATCACACACTACCCTACTTACAACACCTACTCTACCCTATTCCTAATCCTACTACCAACTTTTCTTTTTTCCATCTACTCCATACTCTATTCTCCTATTACCAACTACCCTACATCACTTACACTACTACTACTACTCTCCCAATCCTACACTATCCTATCATTCCTACCAACTACACAACCTACACTACTACTATCAATCACTACCAACACTACCCTACTTACCCTACTTACAACACCTCCCATTTCCCCCTACACTACCCTATTCCTACTACCAACTCTACCAACCACACAACACATTTCCAACTACACTACTCTCTTATTCTCAACTACCCTACCAATTCTACCTACACCACCACCACCACCACCACTACTACTACTCTTTTCCTCCCACATTATCACTTCCTTATTACCAACTACACTACCATTACTATCACTACTACTTACATTCTCACACACTACCCTATTCCTATTACCTACAACACCACTACTACCTCTCTTTTCTTCACTCCCTACTCTATTCCTATTCCTACTACCAACTTTTCTTTTTTCCATCTACACCACATTCTTATTTCCATTACCACCACTACTCCTATTACCAACTACCCTACTTTCTCTACCACAATTTTCTTCCCACCCTACACTACCTACACTACTTACACTACTACCTCAATTTTCTTCCCACACTACACTACCATTACCCCCACCACCACTCATTACCAACCACACTACCCTATTCCTATTACCACTACCATTACTACCACTCCTACTGCCACCACCACTACCACTACTTACACTACTACTACTACTACTACTCAAATCATCCCACACTACCCTATTCCTACCAACTACACTACCATTACTATTACTCTTAATACCACCACCACCACCACTACTACCACCAATTTCATCCCACACTACACTATTATTCCTATTACCAACTAATCTACCCTCACTACCATTATTCTCACTCGCGGGGTGTCCACGGCGTTATTTCCACATTATTTACCGGGGTTTTCACGCGGGTTATCGACGGGTTATTTACCGGGGTTTTCACGCGGGTTATCGACGGGTTATTTACCAGCGTTTTCACCTGGGTTATCTCCACATTATTTACTGGGGTTTTCATGGCCGTTATCTCTGCCTTATTTACCAGCCTTTTAATGCCCATTATCTCCAGCTTTTCTACTGCCATTTTCATCCCAGTTCACTCCCCATTACTTTTCCTACTTCTCTCACCAACTCACTAATCTCTAATCTCTACTCATCATACAAACTACTAGTCTGTCTTACCACTCCAGATAACCAACCAGTCCCTTATTTTTGCTAGTCATATTCAAGTCAGTCCCTAGTCAGTCAGTAGTTACTACTACATCCCTTCGTAGCTAGTCCACTTTTTTTGCTAATCAACTCACTACTCATCTTCAATCCAAATAACCAACCGGTCCCTTATTTTCCTAGTCCCTCATCAGTAGTCAGTGGTTCTTGCTAACTCCCCTTTTTTGCTAATTACTTGCTAGTCATCTTGTGTCCAGATAACCAACCAGTCCCTCATTTTTTGCTAGTCATATTCAAGTCAGTCGGTAGTCAGTAGGTGCATGCTCACTACTACATCCTTTCATAGTCCACTGTTCCAAATAAGCAACTGCTCACCTATTTTTTTTTGCTATTTGGTAGTCAGTGGTCATTGCTAACTCCACTTTTTTTTGCTAATTACTTGCTAGTCATCTTGTCTCCAGATAAGCAACCGGTCGCTTATTTTTTGCATTCTTAGTGGCTGTGCTGCTTCCCTTCACCAACTTTCTGGTCCCTGTGTATTTATTTCCTTATATGGTGGTTGCATGCAGTGGCTGTGTAGGTTTCATTCAGTGGCTGTGAGGTTTCATTCACTCACTAAGAGGTTGCATGCAGTGGCTGTGTAGGTTTCATTCAGTGGCTGTGTAGGTTTCATTCAGTGGCTGTGAGGTTTCATTCAGTGGCTGTGTAGGTTTCATTCAGTGGCTGTGAGGTTTCATTCAGTGGCTGTGTAGGTTTCATTCAGTGGCTGTGTAGGTTTCATTCAGTGGCTGTGAGGTTTCATTCAGTGGCTGTGTAGGTTTCATTCAGTGGCTGTGAGGTTTCATTCAGTGGCTGTGTAGGTTTCATTCACTCACTAAGAGGTTGCATGCAGTGGCTGTGTAGGTTTCATTCACTCACTAAGAGGTTGCATGCAGTGGCTGTGTAGGTTTCATTCACTCACTAAGAGGTTTCATTCAGTGGCTATGTAGGTTTCATTCAGTGGCTGTGTAGGTTTCATTCAGTGGCTGTGAGGTTTCATTCAGTGGCTGTGAGGTTGCATGCAGTGGCTGTGTAGGTTTCATTCACTCACTAAGAGGTTGCATGCAGTGGCTGTGAGGTTTCATTCAGTGGCTGTGTAGGTTTCATTCACTCACTAAGAGGTTGCATGCAGTGGCTGTGAGGTTTCATTCAGTGGCTGTGTAGGTTTCATTCAGTGGCTGTGTAGGTTTCATTCAGTGGCTGTGAGGTTTCATTCAGTGGCTGTGCAGGTTTCATGCAGGAAACCTTCCATATAAGGCAGGTTTCATGCGGACCCTGGGGCAGGGTCCGGAAAGTAGAATATTAGGGTGATGCATTCCCTACAGTTCAACACACCGCTGCCCATCTACCTTGGTCCCATCATCAAGGAAAAGGCTCCTATGCACAAGCACAATCATGTGTATGTTGACATCCTCATGCCTCAGTCAGAGGCAGATTCCAGTGCCATCAGAAGCTGTACTGAATGGTTGACCATGGCATTTCCTCTGTGTGGAGTACCTCACACAGTGTTTGGTGCCTTGAGCAATGCTGCTGGCACCATGAATGTCTACATTTGCTTCCCCAGGATGATCCACAGGGACAAGATGACACACAAGCGTGCCAATCGCATCCCAAAGGAGGTCCTCGACTTTTTCTGGGAGCATGTCCTACTTCCAGCGATCTGTGCACATGTGGATGTTTTGAGTGCACCATATGTCTCTCTCACTCTGAAGGAAGTGCAGTTCAAGGCACAAAAGGGTGGCAAAACCAAGATGGCTGGTTGGCCAAAAGCAGTCCCCTTTTCTATGCAAGTGTTGAAGCAGATCCAGAAGACCATGGAGGCAATCATCCAAGAGGACCCTTCATGATTTGCAAACTATGGTTCCTTCTTCTTTGTCCTGGAATGCAAGGGAATCAAGTTGTGGATGAAAACCACCCTGTCAGGAGCCGTTCAAACACCAGTCCAAGCTCTCCTCCATGGACTTCCAGCTCTGGATTGGTCCCACATGGTAGACAGGGCCAATGGAGAGCTCTTGGTTGACTTGGGAATCAGCATTCACCCCACATGTGACAAAAGCTCGTTGGATTGTGGAGACTGGATGCCCTGGAAGCTTCCTTTGGGGCAGGTGGATATTTGCGAGGAAATGCCCACCACACTTGCATGCTTGGACAGTATGGGGGGATCCAAGCAGAGATGTCACAGGAGTGAGCAAGGCAAACTCACATTGCATTCAGAAGTGCATATAATCTGGCCTATGAGGTGATCTGACCCAATGACAACAGCCCCACCTTTGTCATGGACAAGGATGCTTATGCCCTGAACAACAACTTCATTGGGGAATGCATGCAGGCCATCAACATGTATTCTGGAGATGCAAAGAAGAGGTCATATGGGGTGCGAGACGAGTACAGGATGAGTGGGGCTGCAGTGGAGCAGGCAATACTGGTGGTGCCACAAAGGGTGATGCATTTCCAAGCTCCATCATGCTCATATCTGATGCTTCCATCTTTGCAGATGGAAGAGCTTTTAGCCTCCAATCCCATTCTCTGGATCCCGACCAAAGTCTGGTTGGAATTTATGGCTAGACGCATCAGGGCCCTCCAGTTGGCTCAGATCTCTCTCAAGGAACTGGAACCACCCAACCTTGGGATTCTGACTGGCATCATCTGCCACATGATTCGGTGCACGTCCACCACTGCAATAATCCTTGACTTCCATGTGAGAGAGTCCATGGCCCTTCTGCAGGTCTCCAGGGTGTGTGAGCGGTTGGGAATGTTCTTCCTTTTGGACCTGGACTTGCATCATGTCCCCCATCTTCCAGAAGTTCAGGATCATGACGACCTGGAGGTGCTCAAGCTGATGGAGGGAAAGTTGAAGAGGGGTGATGGACGACCTGCCTGGCCAAGGATTCCCCCTCTGGACGAAGTGGAACAATTTCCCATTGGCAGCAGACCGACTGTGGGCCAAATTGACAAGGACCATCCAACTGCAGCCTTGGTTGATCATGCAGGACTGGAAGTGGTTGGCCCAACTGTCCAGTCTGGGGCCAGTGGTAGGGAAACTTTTCGTTCTGTTTACCTGTCAGCTTTGGATCCAGTTGGATGCGACTTGGCTGACAGGCTCAGAGGGAAAACCAGAGCCAACATCTTTGGAAGAAGCCATTCAGAGTTGGACTCTGAACCAGACCTTCAGGACAATACGTGCCTGCGAATTCAAGGCCTGCAATGCAGAAATTGCAGGGAGTGGAGGGGCTGGTCGCCGACAGTCAAGCTTTGCAGAGAGGGTCAACCTGTTTTTCCCAGGACCCACAGCAGGACAACCTTCATGGAGGTCACCATGGAATGTCTTCTGGACGAAGCCTGGCTATATTTGGGAGTATCACCAGGTGATGAAGAACAGGACACCCCTGGAGGAGTTTGAGGTGCTGGACCACCTTGGCAGGATATTTTCTGTCCTTCAGACATTACCTGATGCGACCAAAGGGAGTGAAAAGAGTCCTGGGAAGACATGGCGGGTGGAGGGTGAGAAGGTGGTTCTGGTGACAAATCCCAAGTTCTACAAGATCAAGGGTATCTCCACCTGAGAAGGAACAGCAACAGGCCAGGAGACAAGCATCTCGAGTGGTAAAGCCCAGGAATGCACTGCAGATGGAGCTCCTGGAGCATGCTGGATATGACGAACTGCTGGCTAGCAAGGCCCTCATCTTAGAAAGGCAGAGGCTGAAAGAGGCACAGACTAAGAAGTCATCAAAGGCAAAGAATGCTTCGAAAGGCTCCAGCAAGAAGAGGCAAGGCCACCTCATAGAGGGAAGCAGAGGGATGGGGAGGGGGAAGGCAAGGGTATGGGTACAGAGGGAGACAGTGATGAATTCTGTTCATCCAGTTCCCCATGTATCAATGATGTGGTGCCAACTTGTGGTGCACTCTGTGCGCTCGGTCGATGCACTCTGTGCACTCAGTTGATGCACTTCAAGGGGTCCAGCATGCTCTGAGGAGGAGTGGTCAGATGGGAACATTGGTATGTTATAAGATGGATTGTAGTTGTATTACCAGACATGCAATAGACATAGGAGAGTCAGGGAAAGATGGTTAGTGCACTGGAAACAGGTCTCAGGGTGTCCCAGTCAATGTGGACAGGGGCTTTGGTTCTGGATCAATGTTCATTGGTGTTTGTTGGTGTGTGTTGCTGTTCATTGGTGTTCGATGGGGTTCGTCCTGTTGTATGGACCTGTGGATGTCCAAATTAGGTCGATTGAGGTGGTCCTAGTGGGGATGAACACCACTTCAATGGGTCCAGCATGCCCCAAGGAGGAGTGGTCAGATGGAAATGTTGGTATGTTATACTATGTATGTTATGTGTATTACAAGACATGCAATAGACCTAGGGGAGTCAGTGAAAGATGATTAGTACACTTGAAACAGGTCTCAGGGTGTCCCAGTCAATGTGGACAGGGGCTTCAGTTATGGATCAATGTTCATTGGTGTTCATCAGTGTTCGTCCTGCTGTACAGACCTGTGGATGTCCAAATTAGGCTGATTGAGGTGGTCCTAGGGGAATGAACACCATTTCAAGCGATCCAGCATGCTCCTGAGGAGGAGTGGTCAGATGGGAACATTGGTATGTTATATCATGTATTTTAGTTGTATTACCAGACATGCAATAGACCCTAGGAGAGTCAGGGAAAGATGGTTAGTGCACTCGAAACAAGTCATAGGGTGTCACAGTCAATGTGGACAGGGGCTTTGGTTCTGGATCAATGTTCATTGGTGTTTGTTCATGTTTGTTGGTGTTCATTGGTGTTCGATGGGGTTCAGTCCTGCTGTACGGACCTGTGGATGTCCAAATTGGGTCGATTGAGGTGGTCCAAGGGGGGACGAACACCACTACAAGTGATCCAGCATGCTCCGAGGAGGAGTGGTCAGACAGGAACATTGGTATGTTTTAAGATGTATTTTAGTTGTATTACCAGACATGCAATAGACATAGGAGAGTCAGGGAAAGATAGTTAGTGCACTCTAAACAAGTCACAGGGTGTCCCAGTCAATGTGGACAGGGGCTTCGGTTCTGGATCAATGTTCATTGGTGTGGGTTGCTGTTCTTTGGTGTTCCATGCGGTTCGTCCTGCTGTATGGACCTGTGGATGTCCCAATTAGGTCGATTGAGGTGGTCCGATGGGGGACAAACACCACTTCAAGCGATCCAGCATGCTCTGAGGAGGAGTGGTCAGATGGGAACATTGGTATGTTTTAAGATGTATTTTAGTTGTATTACCAGACATGCAATAGACATAGGTGAGTCAGGCAAAGATGGTTAGTACACTCAAAACAGGTCTCCGGGTGTCCCTGTCAATGTGGACAGGGGCTTCGGTTCTGGATCAATGTTCATTGGTGTTCGTCAGTGTTCATCAGTGTTCGTCCTGCTGTATGGACCTGTGGATGTCCAAATTAGGTTGACTTTGGTGGTCCTAGGGGGGACAAACACCACTTCAAGGGTCCAGCATGCCATGATGGGGAGTGGTCAGACAGGATCATTGGTATGTTATATCATGTATGTAGGTTGTATTACAAGACATGCAATTGACATAGGAGAGTCAGGCAAAGATGGTTAGCACACTCTAAACAAGTCAAGTCACAGGGTGTCCCAGTCAATGTGGACAGGGGCTTTGGTTCTGGAACAGTGTTCTTCGGTGTGTGTTGGTGTTCGCCCTGCTGTACAGACCTAGACATGTTCAGAACAGGTCAATTGCAATTGAGCTAGGGGGGATGAACACCACATCAAGCAGCCCAGCATGCTCCAAGGGGGAGTGGTCAGATGGGAACATCAGAATGTTATAAGATGTATTTTGGTTGTATTACCAGACATGCAATAGACCTAGGAGAGTCTGGGAAAAGTGATTAATGCGTTCCACACAAGTCGCAGGGTGTCCCAGTCAATGTGGACAGGGGCATTGCTTCTGGAGTGATGTTCGTTGGTGTTCGTTGGTGTTCGTCTGGCTGTATGGACCTGTAAATGTCCTAGCAAGGTCAATTGCAATTGATCTAGGAGGGACGAACACCACCTCAAATGGTCCAGCATGCCATGAGGGAGAGTGGTCAGACAGGAACATTGATATGTTATCTGACGTATTTTATTTGTATTACCAGACATGCAATTGACCTAGGGGAGTCTGGAAAAGCTGATTAATGCATTCCAAACAAGTAAACAAGTCCTCCAGTATGTTTACTCAGGGCCATCCATGCTGGACTGATGTTCACAAATGTTTGCCCATGTTCATCAGTGTTTGTCATGGTGGACAGACCAGGACATGGTACTACAAGACCCATGCAAGTGGGCCTGTATGGATGAACACCATTCCAAGTGGGCCAGCATGCTCTGAGGCAGGGTGATCCAGTGGGCATACTGGTATACTATCTGATGTAGATTCTCTATTTCATTGTAATACATGCAGTAATATAGACATACAGGAATCTGGGAATGATGATCAATGTGCTTGAACCAGGTCCCAGGGTCTCCCAGCATTTGGACATGGTCTGGATAGGGGCTTTGGTAAGGGGTTGATGTTTGCTGGTGTTCATCTGTGTTGTCTGTCATTCCCCATATTGTATGGACCTGTACCTATCAACCTGAGAGCAGGGGAAGAGGTTTCCACAGTATGAACACCATTTCAAGTGGTGCAGCATGGTCTCAGCAGGGGTGGTCGGGTGGGCACACTGATAGAATATCTGATGTAATTTATTTGGATTACATGAAAGTCAATTGACCTACCAGAGGCTGCAAATGACATTCCATCTGCTCCAAAATGAGTGACAGGCTGTCACAGTCAATTTGGACAGGGGCCATGGTGCTGGCTCAATGTTTGCTGGTGTTTGCAGACAATTTCCCATTGGCAGCAGACTGACATGGGCCAAATTGTCAAGGACCATCCAACTGCAGCCTTGGTTGATCATGCAGGACTGGAAGTGGTTGGCCCAACTGTCCAGTCTGGGGCCAGTGGTTGGGAAACTTTTCTTTCTGTTTACCTGTCAGCTTTGGATCCAGTTGGATGCAACTTGGCTGAGAGGTTCAGAGGGAAAGCCAGAGCCAACATCTTTGGAAGATGCCATTCAGAGTTGGACTCTGAACCAGACCTTTGTTGATATAGATTGTGGTTCCCATTCCTGTGGAACTGAATCCCAGTGTTGCCTAGTGTAGTCTGATCAGGTAGCAACATGTTTGGCATCTTGGGATGATACCTGGCCCAAATGTGAACCCCCCTCTTCAGCTTTGCTCCATCAAAACAATTCCAGATCAATCCAGCTGTCCATACCATGTCTGTGCCACTCAAATGACATGGCAGGACCATTTGGATCACACCAGAAAGGACCCTATGTGTCATTCCCCTCCTCTTATCCTGGGGGTGCTAATCCTGTAAAGTTTAGCAAGCATGAAAGCTTGTCAGGAATGGTTGTCCTGGAGGGCCTGAAAGTCACAATGGATGATGACAATGGTTGCAGCATTTCTAGGTGTCAGAATATCCATGTAAGATATGTTACCCTGCCCTCCCCATGTTCACTCCATCAAAACAATTTCAGAGATTGATCTAGCTATCTGAATTATGTCTACCCCATGGGTATGACATTACAAGACCATCAGAATTGTGTTACAAAGGTCCCCATATTTGTTTCATCAACATACCTGATCCCCTCCTCATACCCCAGGGATGGCGATCCAGTAACATCAGGAGGGGGTGCCAGCTTGCTAGGGATGGATGTCCTGGGTGTTATCAATCCCACTGAAGACAATGGAAATGATTTCCAGCCTCCCAGCAGTATTTCCAAAGAGATACCACTTTGTGGTCTGACCATCCTTCTACCCCCTGTAGATTTTTTTTCCGACCGCCAATTTCATTCAAATTTCACCTGGGACATCCCAATGGACATATCTATCGACTCCCAGCATTATTTCCCCCAAATTATGGTCGGGAGTTTGTAATTATAATTCCCCCAGGGGCTGTATAGTCACAGGGACAGTGATCATGGGCTATGTATGCACCCTTAATCCTATTGGATGATAACCAACTGCCTTCTCATGCATGTAGCATCTAAACCTAACTAAGTTAGAGTGGTGATGTCACCTATGATGCAATCATAGATAAGCTATGAGCCTGCCCTAAAGTCACTGGGCTGTATAAAAAGGCTCAGATAGTCCACCAATGAGTTGCAGTGTAGTGAAATTCCTCAGTGCTTGAAGTCAAGCACAAAAATTTGGGCTTTCCAAACTCTGCAGTAATGTTTTTTCATTTTATTTCTTCCGAAATGCATGGCTCAGGTGGTCCAGGCTTCAGATTGGTGTCTGAACCCTGGCTGAACCCAAACCCAATTAACAATAGCATAGAAAAATGACATCTATTCTATCTGTGGGCATAGTTTCCTTTCCTTATTTGGGCATGATCTCGACTTGTAGCCTCAACAGGTTCTCCTCCAGAATATTCTGCTGCCTTTGGCTTCATACACACCCCATCCCAGCTAATTTTACCACCGTCCGGTGGTGTCAGTTTGGTTGTAATAAACTAGAGGACGTTCACCATGTGAACCTTCACCAAATCGGATGTATCAGTGTCGCTCGTCGCGGTCATCTGTTGAATGTCACCAGAAGGCACGGATACCTCGATCAAAAGATGTTTGATAACCACGCTATGTTACACTTTATTGCCTCCGAACATAATCAGGAGGTGAAACTTGAAGGTGTGCAGCAGCACGATCAAATATATCTGTCCACAAGTATCGATGAGGGCAGGTTATCAGAGAAGCTAGGCATGCACTTACACGTATTATCGGGACTCTTGATTTTCGTGTGACTCCATTAACGATGTCGATAATGCCTGAGTAGCGTTATTGATCGTCAATGGCGCAATCTGGCCCTCGACATTCTGAATCTCGATGTCAACTGACTGGTACGAATCGATCTGCCCGTCGGATTCCTCCTTCTTCACCTCATCGATATTCATCACCTGAGCAAACCATTGCGCGCCCTCATCCCACTCCGCCATCTCAGCTTCGCCGAGGGGTGATCTACCCGCTGCGTTCTTGATATCGATCAGGTCGACGCCGGGTCCGCCGGGATGCTGAATTAGTTTTTGGGCAATCTGGAGGTGCCGATTGAGTGCGGCCCAATGAAGTGGCGTTGAACCTGCATGGTTCTGTTGTGCAAGCAACGAAGTTGGAACCAGGGAAAAGAGATATTCGAGGATGTCTAAAAGTGCCTTACGACCGTTGCGGAGCCTGGTACATAACGGTGGGTGAGAAAGCAGCCACTCACCTACGTGACCATTTGCACATGTCATATGGAGAACAGTGTTTCCGTGGTCATCTCGTGCATCGGCAAGCGCAGGTGCGCCGTGTCTAGTGACGAAACCTTGTACGTTCTGGAGTTCACCGTATCGACAAGACAGTAAAAGCTCTTCTCGGTCTTCCTGTGAGGCAGCCATGACAACAATGCAGTACTTGATGTACTTTATTTTTATTTTTTTTAATTTGGAGGAGGCTAGCCTGTGATTGGCTGGAGGGGCCCGGCTTCCTGCTGCGTACAGTACGACGACGACGATGAGGCTGTGTGGCACGGGAACGTTATTTGCACCGATCTCCAAAGATACCCAGTGGTTCACACATAACACCGAGACGCCTACGTGTGCCATGTGCAGCCACGTCATTCATCAACGGACCACTAATACTGGTTCCTGATAACGGTCTTCGTGCGTTTTCCGGAACACCAGGATGTTATTGTACTTATCCTCTCTTCTCTGGGATCACAGGTTTTGCTTAATTGCGGATCAGAGATGGCTAATAATGCCCATCACAATTTTCATATGTCCCTCCCGCTGGTATCCTGCACGAACGATTCCGAGCTGTCCTCTTTAAGTCATTGCCAACAGGCCGGTTTTCAGGTGCAACCGGGAGTATATTTAGCCTGTGCGCCGTTCACCTCCCGGTGACTGATTATATTGTCCTCCTACGTGACACTGTACACTGCGCTCTTGCTATCTTTTGAATAGCTAACTCAGGACACAAATCTCCAAGGCAAATTCCTTTACAAGACCTCACTAACTTCAGTTCTCTCTTCTCGCCTCGCCCTAAACCATGACCCACATCGCACCAGCTGTGAGCTTAACATGGGCCATTCTGTCTTTAATGGTGAGATCGAAACTCCATCGCTAGTCTTTAGTCTCGGATTTGATTCGTGTCGCAGCTGGGATCTTTCCTCGTCTATCACCTATGGTCATTTGATCGGTTCAAATGCCTCAAGTGAGTCGCGTCCTGCTCTTACACCCAAGACTCTCGAATGTCGGTTTGTGCAGATGGAATCGCGGTCCACACTCGGGTGCCTTTAAGCGTATCATGACGGTATGTCAATTCCTGACGCTGAATGATGGTTTAAGCTCACCCACTATGCCACTATCAACACTTAGTACACGTACATATCAAGTGTAACACTGGTGATCACGTTCGCAGTAGGCTTTGCAGTAATCAAGTATCAGTACGGGTACAGTTTTATTCCCGGGTATGGGAGTGAGTCCTCGTGTGTTATCTCGTGCTCCTGCCACTTAACCTGACCAACCTGCATTTGTCCTTGACCTCGCCGCTTCTCCTTGTCTCGAAATCTGATGGATAACCAATTCCTCTTCTGAATTCAATTGTGAACCATATACAACTGCCTTTTATGGCCTTGCAGTTATTCCCACCCCATACCAGCTGTGGAGTGAAAGATCACGCAACGCCATATTGCCGCTTTATCTTTGCTTCTCATTCGCATGGAGTTCCGAAATGTACGTATGCTTTATCCTCTTTTGTATTCACGTGTCTGTGCACACCAAGACGCTGACGATGCTGTTTTGATCGTTACCGCAGGGTAAGCCATCTAGAAGGTATGTTATGTTTCATCTTTTCACGCTATCGCATCTTTGGCCATGCGTGCCCTGATCCAAAGCGGAGGAACGGAACATGATTGTTGCGTCGTCATCCGCACCGGTTTATTGATGCAACTGGCTTACCTCGCCTCATAATAGCACATACTCACATAAGGTCATATATACAGAACTCTGCTTCTGGGTCTTCCTCGTGAAGTCGACGTCGGCAGAACAAGACTGGTTCCGAACGGTCTACTTCAAAGCATGGGCTATCGGCTCGTGTGTTGCTACCATATACATGCCACTCGTGACGATTTTCACTCGGGATGACGTACTGAAGGTGTGTCTTTCGTGGTCCTCAAGAATTACTGTCGTACTGAACGAGAGTGGATTATGTGCTGGATGCGGATAAAAGTGTGAAGCATATACGATGCTTGCAGGGAGTATGGGGGATTTTTTCTTGACGATTTGGTTCCTTCCCGTATTATGGACGTTTCCATCGTTTATTGAGAATTTGGTGCGTGTTGCCAGTCATTCTGCGTGGATGAGATTTTGAAGCGGGCTGACTGCTGGCTCGTCGCATAGAAACAGTCCAACGTAGACAAAAATACGTTGATCAGACTGACAAAATTCCACGAACTAAATGTATGTTGCCAACACCCTTATGCGCTTTTCGGGTAAGGAGTTATATCCCCGCAGTGTATTCGCATCATGTTCCGCTTCTTGTTCACAATTCCATGTATCATACTCGGTGTCGACGGAGTGCGACCACATCAGCATATTAATGATAAAGTGTAAGGACTTCCGTTCCTTTCTTTCCGCCTTCCCTACATGGCTGTACGCGCCGTGTTGCGACGTTGTGGGCCGCGAGGCTGATGATAGTGATGCCTTATTAGGTTACCTACAGGTGAGTTCGCCATAATGTGTTCGGATGGATAGAGGGCGCTGATTTTGGGTGGTGTGAAAGATCTATTGGCTATCGTTGCAGGTATTGGCGTTGTCATGTCGTCTGGAATAACACTCGTCGTGCGTCTACTCCTTCCTTCTTTTCTGTTGCTCACCCTTCTCATGCATATCTCCTTCGTGTTGACACCCGGGGCTTCGAATCTGTGCTTCGCACTAACTTCTAGATATTTTTCCCCCGCTCCATCGAAGGTGAAATGGCCGAGAGGGATGCATCACGTGATCGTAAGCACTCGCGGGCGAACCGTCGGGCAAGATCACAGTTCATGGCGAGGTTGGAGCATGCATTTGTGGGGAACGATGATGTTGTATATATCGCGCCGAGTGTGAAATCGCACGCACGCACGACGGAACTCAATGATTTTGGTAGGTTTGCGCAGGGTGAGCGTGGCTGGGTGAATAGTCCGCCTAGTTATGAGAGGATTGCGGGTAGGGAAGTGGAAGATACTACGGAAGGGCAGCACATCTCTCAGCCTCTACATCCTCATCACTATCACCGTCCGTACCATCGCGACAACGAGCCTCGGGAACGGGAACGCGAGCGTTACAGAGAAGATTCCGACATGGACGTCTTCGACGTCAAAGTTGTTGGGTCCGGGGTGCTCTTACAGCCGAATCGCCGGACAGAAAGTGGGGACGTCGAGTTTGGCGGTATGATGACGAATTCGAGGGGTGCGTTGTTCACGAGACATGGTGTGATGCAAAGGTCAGAAGTCAACCGATTAGTGCATATCTGGAGGTCGCCTATCGGTGAGTCGTGCACCTTTTTTCGGTTGTTGGTCGGTTAGGGAAACGGAGCGTTAACCTTGGGCTTTTGTAGATCTCGAGCCACAGTCATAGGATAACGTGCACAGAGTACAAGGACGCGTTATAGTTATAGTTGTAATATACGTTCCTCAGTCATTAGTATACATAAGCTGCTTTCGTACGCCTCATGTAGGCGTTTTGTTGTCTCCCCTGGGCAGAATAAAGGTTCGACAAGTACATGGCGTCGAGGCGTGGGAAAAAGGAGTTCTCGCCTGCCCTGCAAGTTGCTACGTACTAACTTGTTGGCATTGTAAGTGGTATCTAACTGGCGAAGCTAGCTCATCCTGCTCAGTGACACTGGTGCGCCGCAGGGAAAATCAATCCTACGTGATGTGGTACGTATCGATCCGATCGACTCCCTCCAGCGATGTTCATCCCGCCAAGCAAGCATGTCCTCAATGCACAAGTGTCTATACGGGCACCTTGCTGCAAGCAGTGGTTCGACTGCGCGGAGTGTCACGAGGAGACACAGGACCATCGACTAAAGAGGACGATGGAGATGGTGTTCATATGTAAGAAGTGCAAGAAGGCTTTCAGGAAGGATATGTCGAACTACGAGGAGAGCGACGAGTATTGCCCACATTGTGATAATCATTATGTGAGTCGTGCTTTTTTTTTTGATAGAAGTGGTGATGGTGAGTGGTGGTTGCTCATGCGACGGGTGACCCGGTTCGTGCAGGTGATCGAGGCCAAGACACCTCAGGCCGTAGTCGGCGTAGAAGGCGACGATGCACGTATCGATTCGCGGTAAGTGGCATATTGCAGAATTTACGCATTGAAACGAACATCCATCTGACCGTTTTTGGTACCGTGTGCAGGATGCTGAAAGATGAGCGGATGAGAGTGGACCACCGACCGTCGCTTTTTGACTTCTCAGATTCTCTTGGTTAACTTCACCATGTTTATATCGCATTCTTCAATCCATGATGCGAATTTTGGTTATTCTGTGCCATTAACGATTACTCACCGATCATGCGGAGAGTCCTGATATTCGTCAACCAGACGCGACGGGAGTCGGGGGGCCAAGACCCTCGTCGATCCATGACGTAGACAAGGCGAACATGACGTAGCATGCGTATTTTGTTATTTGCCCGTCTTGGCAACCAGGTTTCCGCCCGCCTGCGCCTACGGATGATTACTCAGGCGGGCAGACGCACATATATATAACCATGCTCAAGATCAATTTGCACCGTCACTCAGGTCCCCCCGATTACCACCCACTAGTTCATCACACTTGAGATCCCAACAGACGTCGCTATTATGGTCAATAAGGCCCTTTCGAGCAATCCGCCCGCGGGGGAGTTCCACATCACGACTCATGCATCAGACTGGCTTTGGGCAGTTTTTGCGATTATGCTGTTATCCCTCCTCGTCAGCCTTTTCTGGACGGGCCTCGGCCGTCATCGTAACAGGATCCCGTACCAGATTCCAATCGTGGTTCTAACTGTCTCGACTATCGCGTACTTTTCAATGGCATCGGACCTAGGTTTCGCCGTCATCCTTAATCAGCGCGGCACACGGCAGGTTTGGGTGAGTAGTTGCAGCCATCGTTAGGGAGGTGTTGTGTCATTCGCTGACGTCATGATTCTTCCCTTGGTAGTATGTGAGGTACATACAGTGGTTCATCAACGCACCTCTTATCCTCCTCGGCTTGCTCATATTTACGAATATGACCGTTTCGGACATCCTCACCACACTTTTCTTCTCGTGGGTTCTTATCGTAGCCGGTCTGGTTGGAGCCCTCGTGTCTAGTCAGTACAAGTGGGGTTACTATGCATTCGGGCTGGCCGCGCTATTCTACCTCTGGTGCGTTTCCGTTCTTCGTGCCCTGGGTGACGGTTTTCAAATATTTACGCCATTTGATCTGCACGTAGGTACCGCCTTTTTGCACACTCGTTGCGATATCCCTTCCGCGTCGGCCAGAACGTACGTTCAGGCTACTGGGGTCTTGGGGCCTACGTCGCCTTCATCTGGTCACTCTATCCCATCTGCTGGGGTCTCTCCGAAGGCTCTAACACGATCTCACCCACATCCGAAATGGTGTTCTATGGAATTCTAGATATCATTGCGGGGCCCTTGTTCTTATTGTTTTACATCTTACGAGTGTCAACCCTGCAAGCTGCTGACCTTGGGGCTGCAAGTCTGGCTGCCGCGGATAGGGGAGAGGTCGAACCCAAGGGTCCGGCTCCCGGTACCGCACCTCCCGCGTCTGGAGCTCCCCAGGCCCCAGTGAGTGGGGGCACGTAGATGCGGGGCGTACGTGAGGCTGTATGTCCTCGGTGTGTAGAAGTTTGTTTTGTTGGAATGGTTATGTTTCGTTTAATGTCACAATTATCTTCTCGATCGCCAACTAATTTTCAGTAGTTAACGGTGTTCTTCCCTATATTTCGTGGTTCGGAGCAGACGTATTTACGAGTTATGTCTATGTTATTATGCCATTCCTTTTGTCACAATTGCCAACGGGTTGAACGTGTAGATGGTTGGCCGGGTGATTAACTCTTCGAGTTTAGTATCCGGAGCCACTCGTGATGGGCTGACGTCATGAAGACCTAGAAGTTCGACTCCATGAGTTACCCTTGTCCCCCTAACTAATATGGTCATGGTCATTGTTTTCTCATCTGATCCGGTCTACATTGAGCAGGCAGATCAACGGTGATCGGAATTGACTCTTTCGGAGAGTCTCCAGTCTGCTATTAACACAGCCTAGGTTTAGGCTTGCTGAGATGAAGTGAAGGCAAGATACTGGAACCGACAACCGAACATTGGATCATATTCAAGTACTAACCCTGGCCATCATTTGGCGAAGCCTACATCTTTACAGTGCCAGCTCAGAAGGGGCTTGTGCAGGGATTCAGGAAATCCCTACGCACGTCCACGTCCTCCACAGCCTAGATATGGTGCTGAGGAACTTGGTCACACAGCAATACCCCTCGAAGGGTTGCTCAGGGCATTGCCACATACACGTTATGTTAGAGTAAGGATCACCGTATTTTGGAAGCCGAGCTCACATACGGTAAAACCAACTCATCAATTCCGCCCTCAAGGCCAACATTGCTTCTTATCTGTGCGAAAGTTGAGTGGTGTCGTGGTGACCGGGCTGCCTAGTGACCACCAGCGCCACCAGTTGGCTAACATATTTACCCCCAGGTACGCGGATTTGAGTGCACCCTCTTGTTTGTTCGTCACGAAATTAGCTACAACTAGCGTCCGTTGCATCATATGCCATAGGTTGAAGTGCAACAGGCCATCCCATTATTTGCAAAATGTACACCGAGGGGACTACTAGGGATACACTGTCTGCATGAAACCGAATACCCAAAGGCTCATAAGTCAATAGATATTAAAGTGGCCAGTCAAGAGAATCTTCAAACCTCGGCTTCAGAAATTGCGGAGTCATGCCGAACATCATATCCACCGTCTGGTGACATCGGACCTAGTCTCCTCGGGAGCGATATATCCACTACCTGGGTATCTGAAAATCCAGGTATTTTCCGCTCCATTCCCGACCCACCACCATTATCCATTGATTGGATGATCAGGTTCCGATGGACTCTGCATGCCATTACACTGGTCAATGACACCGCAGGGCTCGACAAGATAACTTGGAGTGTTGGAGATGCAGGTGACAAACTCAATGCGAAGCGTGTCAAGGTGATGCCGATCGTTATCCTGAGCCGACGAACACATCTAGGTAATGATGTGATCGCGAAGGAAGTCGGGTGTGCTTACAAACAGTACTGTTGCCCGCCTTGCAAGACTGCCCGAGAAAAATGAGGGAGCACTCTGCCACCACGGAACAGTGCCCTCCAGCCTCCTCGTGTTGTGTGAGTAATGAGGGTTTTATGCGTGATCGCGAAGTAGACAAGGGTGTCGAAAAGGACGGGGTCCATAAACGCGATTTCCAACGCAGACGAGCCTCGGTGCCGAATGCAGTGCTTGGTATCGGCAATCTCGAGAGAGCTGCAATAGACGCCAGCGAATACGGCACAGGACGTGCCGACGCCAACGAGCCAAAGGAAGTTGAAGATATGTTGGAGAACTTTGTTTCCGAAGTAGACGGCATGGACACGTTTGAGAAAGAGGTATGATGCTGCTGCGGAAGATACCACTTGACAAGTCGCGATGCCCAAAGCTACAGCTCCACAGTGCAAGACAGGACCCGCTAAGGATATCATCCGCCGCTATCCGTCAGTTTTTTGCGTTTCGGTTGTTGACAGGAGCATACTAAACAATAAGATGGCCAGAAGAACCATGACCATCGATGCTGGCCTATAAGAAGTTCAAGAACAGCACTCGAACGACCAAATTTCTGACCTAGCCACGAAGTAGGCAAACAGTACGACGGATACTCTCCCCATCTGCATCAACTTATAATCGCTTGGGATGCTGGATAGGATATCCCATATCAAGGCCTTTGCAAACGGGAGTCAGGTTCGGCAGACTGGCTTTACATTCGCTTAACGCACACCCAGAATCGCCAGAGTCATATTTCTGTTCAGCTCATACTGGCTTGCGATCGAGGGAATGAGATAGTTGAGATAGACGTCAGGATTGAGAATAGGAGGAGAACTCATCGCAGAGTTGAGCAGAGAAGGCAGTGGATGACCAGTGCACGGAACAGCTCTGATATCTGTGTGATAGGGGGACTCTGGACGCCACCAATCTAGTCATTTATATTTCTTCGGCGCTTCGTGAAGCCGGATGTGGAAGGCCAAGCGTGCACGAGCACTCGCTGAAACAGCCCCCACTAGTCTGATATGGCGCAAGCCAGACGAACGGAGCTGGAAACCATCAGCATCCTTTACTTTCCCCTGAATTTTCCCGATGATATGAGACTTATAATTGATCTCCAGCCGCTTAATATGCGCATAGTTCGCCTCGAATATATGCACTCTGAGACAGCGAAGGTGACGTACTGTAAATAGCCTCGCATGGGGTCACTGCCTGTTCACAAGTACACAAGTCAGCCCATTGAGGACAGACTCCCTCACCATGAAGTGACAAAGTTCCCAGAAATGCATGACACTTGCACGGTTCCGAGCTCCCAGTACTGGAAAGCGGAAGTATTAAGTAGATGCCGGCCAAGCGAACAGCAGAACGCTACTCTTAAGCCAATGATTTCAGGGGTAATAGGGGAGGAACATCGTGCGGCTTTCGGGGAGTCTTGATCACCGCTCGTAACGACAGTTTGATCGTCGTCCATCATCAAGTCTTTGTGGTCTAGTGCTACAGTGCCCTCGTACCACGTACGCGGGCCACTGTATGGCGGGTGCTAGCCCGACAAGCATTGGATAGCGGTACTGGCATTACGCTTGGTTTAAGGGTCCTTCACTGTTACAAACCCCCCGGGCCCAGTGCTGGAAAATGTAAGTATCAAGTAGGTTTTGGCTTGGAGGGCACCGCAGAACGCCACTCCTAGGCACAAAGCAGTACAGCCCAATGGTTTCGGTGGGTGTGGAGAGAAGTGTGGGCCGAGAACAATCAAGCCTTACGGGGTTGCGTGCGATAGCCATTATGTAAGTTTGACACGACAGTTTCTTTGATCCTTGTTGTTTCGTAGGTATTGCCCCACCTCAGACACTCACGCAGTGTTAACGCGGCCTCCAAATGACAGACAGCACACCACGTTCGATTCTTGAAGGTCCTGTGATCGGGTTCCACTTTTGATCTGTTCTCGGGCGCGGCGTCGAGTTCTTCAACATGGTCCGTACAGACGAAACACTCGACCCACTCACAGCGACAACATCCCACTCTTTCTCTACCACTCTTCTTCGGTCCTTGCTCGTTCGCTTCGCTTTGGACCGACTGTCAAATTCGCCATGCTTTCGTCTCGTTGGCAATTCTTAAGATACCCTCCAGTTGGGAGTTCTCTGTACCTTGCAGGCCGATTCTGATAAACCAGAGCCATCCGGATTATCCGCTTGAAACTACCCGGGTCTTGACCCGAGGCTCGACGTCGGACTCCACAATAGACACTAATTACTAAGTTCGTTGACATCGACGACTGTCGACTCCGCTGCTTTACCTCTGCAGTAGTTGTGGTGGATGACAAGTAGCATCAGAGCTCGGCCGATCAGAAAAGATTCCAGTATTTTTATGTACTACAACACATCTAACGACTTCAATACATCCGGGGAAGCATAATTCACAACATATTAGTCTAACAAGTTTCCCACGTCCTATCAGACTTTCGGTACGCGGATGACTGTAAGCAGCAGGTTGATAGCCTAGTTAACCGAAAAAGAAATGATTGGAAGGGATCACCAAAAGGAGTGGGATGCCACATACCACGGCGATAATCCCAGAAATCCACAATGCCTTGCCGAGAGGCGTGGGTTGGAACCGGAAAATCATAGCAAACATGATGCCTCCGAGGTTCCCTGTACCCCCCACAATGCCACTCTAAAGGTGGTCAGTTGTGCATGTCATAGATCTACATAGCTACACTACTCACCATGAACCCATTGGAACCTACAGCGAGGCAGTGTGAGTATGCGTTTTCTTTGACAAGAATGGAGCATTTACAAGGGTTGCAGTGGGGAACCAGGGAGAAGTTGACGCCGTTAGCAGCTTCACAGGCAATGGAGATCAAAACGAGCAAGACAATTAATATTGTCACTGCATTTCCAGTCAATTTATTGAAGAACCGTCAGGAAGGGAGAACTTACGCGAAGGGTGTTGATTGTTGTCAATATACAACCCAAGACCAATGGATAATAGTCCCTGTGCAGCACCTAGGAATATCAGAAGGTACTTCTTCCCAGGAACGCCGAATTTCTGGTATATCAAATCACCAAAATATCCACCTGACTTTGAAGTCAATAACAGTAGGCTTAATTATAGAACGAACTCGCCTAGTGGACGGGTGAAGATGTTCAAGAGACCAAAGATGGATGCAATCTAAAAGGGGGGTCAAAGACGGGCAATGAATGCGTATCGCTACTAACATATCCAGCTTTAGTTTGCCCAAAATTGGGCGACTTGTAGAGGGAAAACAATACATTCGCCAGGTTAGCATCGATGGCTAGCTCGTAACCAAAGGTGCTGAGGTATGCAAGTGCGGGCAACCAAGTCAGAGGTCTAGTGATGACCTTCACTACAAGCGCCCACGTGACTGGCTCGTTCACAGCGAAGTCAAGTTCAGATTCCAATGCTGTCAATGAAGATGGAAAATATTAGTGTGCGGCAGGTGATAAGGGCAGTCACAAACCGTTCACTGGGGATACGGTAACCTCGACGTCGCCAGAGGCGTCTTTTTTTATAGAATCAACCTTATGCTCGAGGGAAACGGGAGGTGGGCCTCCGGCTTTGATTCCGTGTGCGATGGCCTTGTGACGGTCGCTCCACTTGCCAGCGGGGTGATCCGTCCCAAATACCAGGGTGGCGACCGCAATAGTAAGAAGGAAAGGCACTGGCACTATTGCAAACGCCGCACGCCACGCCACGTGCGGTGTGAGCCCATCTGAAACCAAGGAGTTATACAGAGATACCATAATGATGAACGTGACTCCGCCGCCAGCATTTCCCCAGCCGCCTGCCAGAGCGTTCGCTAAAATACATGTCAGCCCAAGTATCATGTACATGAGATAGACTCCAGATACCAGTCCCAACCACATTCTTGTCGAAGAATGCCGTGGTCCAAGCCTGGCATGCCACGAAAGTGCCCCCTAAAATGCCGATGAAAAAGCGGACAATGTAGAGTCCGTTCGCTGTATGTGCAGTTCCAGCCAAACCCGAAGGAATTGCACCGCATAAAAGCAACCCAGCCATGACCTTGCGTGGGCCAAATCCTGGACATGACATTAGAGAAGGACCAAGTGGTACGATGTAAGGACTACAAACGATCAACCAGTGGGCCTGCGATGAACCGCACAATAAGCGTAGCGCATAGCGAGACCACGTTGGAGTTTCCTGACAGAAGATGACTATGTGCGGGGCATCGACGGCTGAGCGCACACTTACCGACTTGTGAAGAGGTCAGATGGAGGTCCTCTTTGATCACGTCCGGAATAAGGGGGGCAAATGCAAACCAAGAAAGGCTAACCACAGAACTTCGTTATTTGCCATGGATGAGAGACGTTGAGGGGACTTACAAAGCCACGATGAATCCTAGCCAAGAGCTGGGGTGTAACGGTTGGTAATCGTACTCGTGGGAGGGAACTGAGCACAACGGAAACGTACAGATGGAAGTTGACAGAATATTGGTTTCGCAGAGAGAACAGTGGTAAGGAGGAGCACTTCAAATTGGCAGGATTAACAACAACATCCTTGAAGTTGATTCTGGAGGAAGTCAAGGACGTCATATTGGTGCAGGCTCTACCTCTTCCAGGTTGTTAGACCTCTGCTCCCATGTTTTACTCGCTGGCACTTTATATTTTGAAGGTGCCAAGAGTATCATATTGTGGCGCCCTGTACTCGCAGCCCTGTACCTAGAGCACGACGGGGAAGATGTCAAAGATAAGGATACTCCCATTAATTAGTAATGTAGACGCTGTCAGTTGGAGCAGGCGGGAGCACGGCAACGATAAGGGAAGAGCAACAACAGAAGATAAGAAGAAAAAATTTCGCAGGCTCCCGATATCAAGTCAATCAAGGTAAATGAGTGGATGTTGCGCTTTATCGACATATCCTTGAAGGTGTTTGATGAATGGACGTTCTGGTTCCCAATACTTCCTACGGTGTACGCTGAGGAACGGTCAAGCTCTTCCGCAGGAGTGTTTTGTTTCTACAGCTGGAATTACAAGAGTGATAAATGAATTAGCGGGTCACGTCACTGATACGAACATACATGACATCCCCAAGACGAGATACTTGATGATATTAATTCTGCATGCAATGAATTTTTCTGTCTTCGTATCTTGAGCTCAGCCAGACTTACCCGCATATGGATGACCAAGCAGGGTCCATGGAACGTCGTCGAGGTAGCAAGCCAGCGTGTGGGGTCTCTGGTACTCAAAAGCGGAAAGTGACCAAGAACAAAAAAAAGTTCCGAAAGCCCAATGTCAGCCTTATCCTCGTTATCCACATCGTGCCTTCAGTCGCTACGAGGTCCTGGGCGAATGCATTCCACTCATCTCGGAATAGGCCAGGAACTGTCAGGGAAACTGGTATCAATTGCTCGGATATCTGTTATCCCTTCGATATGGGTGTGAGTGACATCCTTTCGTCATTCTTGCGAGTCAATTGAGGCTCTATCATAACCGAAACGCTGTCGGGTAAGTTGAGAGGCAGCCTGTGGTCGCACTAACCTCAACCACTCTTTTCCTGTCGAACTCCCTTCACACAAGGACCATGAAGGTGCGACAGTGTTGATAGAAGTCGAAGGCGTCAAGAACAACACAGAAGACCAGAATAACTGTTGATGTTCCAGCAGACGCTTTGAGTGTATGTATGCCGGTCACCTCAGGCCATTTTTGTGGTTGAGCTGACCATGGTGGGCATCAGTGCGAGAGGATTCGTCGACCGTATATGTGTGTATATATATACACCGTGATATCTCTCAATCAGAAGCCTTTATCAAGAAGAGACTCGATTGGATGAGGCCGAACGATATCGGGTGATAGCTTGGGCGAAGGTGGGCTATACTTGCCTATCTCCTTATCGCTTAGATATGTGGCTGACCTTGGGCATTTACTTCGTCGTATGGCAGGAACGCACCTGGCCTATAACTCTTTGACTGATAAAGAATATATGCCGTGAAGAAATTTGACCTTATTCAAGGCAAAACGCTTCCTTAGCACTTACCGTTGGCCTATGAAATTTTTTTTTTCTAAAAATATTGACCATGGATTGGTATGCTCAGCAGGACCCTGCGTATTTCATGTCTTATATAGGTCAACAAGTCATTTTGAACACTACTGCCCCCTTGTTAACAACAAGCAATGGGCAGCTGGCCAACTCTGGCCATCACATGCTCACCACAAGCTCCAAGTGTACGATGCCACCGTACATCCCACTAGAATGTGTAGCGCAGACCAGTGGTTTCTTGTCTGTCGAAACACTGTAGATCCGGATAGGATTTCGAGTTACGCTGAAAAAGATCATGTCAGAGGCGGCTGGGCTGCTGGGCGGATTAGGAAGAAAGTAGCTCGTTTTCCCCGGGACTCTATGAGGGGTTTTTGTCCTACCAGTGTCAATTAAGGAGCTCCCCGTCTTAGGGTTAGAGGCCTGAAGTTGCGACTGGAAAAGAAGGGGCATGAGCACTGGATTTGCCAATTCGAATGTGAGCTTGCACATTCGCGCAAGGTCAATCAAGTTGCCGAGGTTTCGGATGCTGCCTTCAAGACATGGGTTATATCCGCCTGATATGTGGAAGTGAGTTATAGGGATGATAAGTGGACCAAGGATACAGACCAGCAAAGACGAGCTGCATGCTATTAGGCACTGCAGGTCTCCCTCTAAGACGAGAGAATGCCACAATGACGAGTGCCAAATTCATTTGGTATCTGTTTCAGAGAGGTAAAGCGAGTCACCGTCACTTGAGCTGTGAGGTTGGAGTTGACAGGGATAACGTAGGCTTGCCACACACAAATCTTGAGCACGGGTCGACAAGGCCAATGATAGTCTGAAGTACTCCTCCGACCAGACCGTAGGGTATCAATAAATTCGCTTTAATATCCCACCGTTCCTCTTTAGCACTTTCCCTTTGATGAATACACCGTTAGCAAGGAGCTTGTCTGAGAAATGGGAATAGAATACGATGCATTTTCCACCCAAAAGCCAGAAAAATGGTATAAACGTCGACAACTGGTCCACGAGGAAAACATTGCGCTTGTCCATAGCAAAAGCTGGGTCAAGTGCCAGAGTTGTCAAGTAGGATATGGAACATGCCCTTCCAGGAGCGGGGAAATGGCAGAACGACGTGATGCACACGCAATGTGTCTGTGCTATAAATCAATTTTACAAGAACCAGACCAGATAGATCAAATACACCGTCTCGAATCTCATCGAAGTAGTGTTCCTCGAAGTTGTGGTGCGAAGTGCAAATGTCGACGGAGTGCCCAAGTGCAACGTCTACAACAAGCTTTTCGGCTTTCCCTACGGCAGTTTTATAACGGAGCTGTTAGCGACGACAAAGACACACCGTACCCAAATGCAACCCGCAACTTGGTTGGAGTCGCCAAGATTAGCTCTTCAAGCTTCAGCTTCATGTATCGTGTCGGCGCACACATTAATATTTCCGGTATCACGTGGTTTTGGACACTTACGTGAGCATTCCTAAAATGGGTGGAAGCTGAGATCCCGCCGTTCGTCGCTGCCGTTGTCGTCTACCAAGCTCAAGTTCCAACCATGTCTACCGCGCACAGACCCACATGGGATCCCGCTCAAGCCAAAGATGTCAAAGGCGGCTCACGGCAATACTCAGTCCGTGACATGGCTGCCCACACGAAACTCAAGTTTCGGTGAGTTCGTTGGTGACCACTCACATATTCCAGAGACCCCGAGTCATACGTTTCAGTCCAGTCAGCCAGGGCAAACTTCGGTAGGAGAGGTCTCGCGGAGAGATTTAAGAGCGGAGCTACTCGCCGCGGAGGAGGACGCGCGAAATAGGAAGCGGAAAGCGGAAGGAAAGCCACCTTTACCTGCTGTCGCCGACGGCACTGCCAACGGAGGAGGCGAAGACGAAGAAGCGAGCAAGAGACGGAAAATGCTACAAGAGGCTCTAGAACTGGACAAGGACGAGGATGATGATGATGAGGACGACAAATCTGAGGATGAGACTTCTCAGAAGGCGAACAATGATGCCATGGACGAGAGGTACGTGACCCCTACTATTTCTCTCCGTTCATATAACTGACATCCGTATTCAAAGCGAGGAAGAAGAATCCGAGGAAGAGGACGATACAGACGAACTCCTGCGCGAACTAGAAAAGATCAAACGGGAACGTGCAGAAGAAAAGGCCCGGCAAGAAAGGGCGGACTCCGCCGCAAAAGCAGCAGCCCGCAAAGTAGAAATAGCCACCTCAAACCCACTTCTGAACCTCGCGGCAGCACTGGGACAGGCTCCCGGTGTCAATACTACCGTTCCAGGAACTTTCTCTGTGAAACGACGGTGGGATGATGGTAAATGCGATCTCCCGTGCACTTTCCCTAAATTCTCACTTTCACTTACTATCATTTCAGACCTCATTTTCAAGAACCAGGCAATGAACCAGAAGAGGGATTCATCTGGTCAATTCGTGAACGACCTGCTCCGTACCGAATTCCACAAGTATGTCATTGCTCCCCACGCCATAATGTCACGTATTTGCTAATGCGACTTTTTCAGAAAGTTCATGGCAAAATTTATCAAGGTGAGCCTTTCGAAAGACCTACGGGGTTTGCCCTAGAATCTTGATGGTCGTCTTTTTTTATAGTGATCATGGCCCAACGCATCGGGGGCTTTGTATAGATATAGTTAATACCCTGGTGCCATATGCTAGCTCACGAACTACTCGGACCTTCATTATCACGTCCATTCCCAACCTTCTAACGCCCACTCTGGTATTTCCGTCTGGAAACTTCCAAGGCTGGTAGTGTACTTGAATGCATGTAAAAAGATGTACAATTTCTCGGGCCTTGGATCTGGATGAAGCGGCAAATAACATTCCGGGCAATACAGCGTCCCAGTATCCGGGTCTACTGCGGGCTCTGGTGCTTCCATCGTGGGTAGTTGAGCTAGTGCTTCGTCGAGAGAGAGCTGCGCGGCTACTTCCTCGCCCGAAGTTGCATCTTCTGCAACACCTGGGGGCGAGACCTTGGTGTGAGATCTAGATCGCGAGCTACGAGATGCCTCACCTCCCCGCTTTCGTCTGTTTTGAGGTGGCAGTGGCGGTATACAGAATGTTCTTGGGGTGAGCGCTCCCTTCGCGCGGAATGTGACGTCGCGCCATCGGCTCCAATCTTCGTCTTCGTCCTAGACATTTACGGTAAGAACTTGTTTGCAAGGATGAAATCAGAGGAGACACTACGCCCCTTCATATTTCTTAACCGAGTAATAACCTGCACTGCTTCGGAAGATAAAGGAACAGGGGAGCCCATCCCAATATCATGTCCAGTCTCCCTTGGAAGTGACTGTCGTCCATGGTTACCAAGGCCGCCGTCATCCGTACCTGCCCTGAGCGATTCAGGGATATATTCGCTGCGTAGGTGGGGCGGCGGGGCGGGTGCTGCGCGTTCAACTGACGGAACGATGTCGACACCGCCTTCTCCAAGATTCGGTCCCTGAGCAGTACGTCAACCACCTATCCATCATTACCGCAGTCACACAAGGAACGCGAACCCATATTCGTTCCTCGGAGTAGATAGGGTCGTTGGCTATTGGGTGTCCGAGGTATTGGAGATGCACACGGATCTGATGTGCTTCGACCGGCAGTCAGGATCCAGAACTATGAGTAGACAAACAGCGACAACTTACAACGACCAGTGAATGGACGGCCTGCGACAGATATGAGCTGTTAGCAATGATATATAGGAGACAAAAGAGGAACGAGAATACGGTACACCGAACAACACTAGTGTGTGTATTCGAATCGTAATGTATCCTGTTGAAAGCAGTCTTCGCGGGCTATCACGTTAGGCGGTCAGAGCTTTTGCCATAGACATGCATAAACGCAACGCAGCTCACCTTCCCTTGCGGATGCACGATGTTCAAACCCATCTGGCGATCGACGGTCAGAAGAGGCTCCTCCAATACCACCTCGCCGCTTCGTTTTGCATTGTCAGTATGGTCGGACGGGCTGCCAGGACGGTCAGGCACCGATACTCACACAGGGAATTCTCCCTTGCACCGAGCTATATATTCTTTGCGGACGGAACCATTGACGAACTCAGCCGAAAGAGAGCGTGCGAGGTCAGCGTTGAGGGGGACGATCATGAGTCCCGATGTTAATCTATCTAGTCGATTGATCGCTTAATGGGGCCAAACAGAGAGGTTGAGAGGATCAACTCCGAAAGGAAACTAAGGAACGGACTGTATACTCTGTCGAACCCGAAGTCATTGCGCAGAATTTGTACCAGGCTGTGATGGTAGTATCGACCGGTTGCATGGACGGGCTACGATGAGAAGTGAACAACTTCGCCCTCAGGCTGGTCTGCCGTAACGAGAGAAAACTCACAATACTTCCTGGCTTGTTGATAACAAGAAATCCTCGTTCCTTGTCATGGAGTACAATCTTCACGGGAGTCGAAGAAATGGGTGGTTCGTGTCTGTGAACTACGTTCCTAGACTACCCATGAGCACGATATTTCATCCACCCATGGATACTTCAATGGGCGTTACCCACTCGATGCGATCCCCGTTTTTGATGATCGTATCAGGTTTGGCGGACTTGCCATTAATCGAGGTCACCCCGGATTCGAGGGCGTATCGCTGGCGCAATTGCAACCATCAATTAACACATCTCAGTTGGGCGGCGAAGTGCAACGGAGGACTATTATCAGGAACGCACATAATACTCCATCGATCGATCTCTGAATTCTGTGGACACGACTTCTAAGATCTCACGACCGAGCCAACGTTCCTTAGCCATCGTAGTGTATGGATGCCAGTAGGGTGTGAGCTTCCTGATCCCCGGGGCAGACCCCTGGGCTGGTTGGGGTGTCTGGGGATCATCAGACATAGTCGTCGCGGTGCGGGTGATGAAGCGCGCGAGGAAGTGCCGGAACTGATCGCGAGAAGAGAGATTTGTGAGTGATCCACTCCCTCTTTGCTCGAGTGTGTACGATTCGTTACGGGCCAGCCTGATGGTGATGATTTGGGTCACGGAATGACAATAGGGCTGCTGGAAACGCTACTACGGCATTACGCTTCTATTTCAACGTTGCATTTTTGTACGCACGTTCAGAAGAGAGAAGGACAAGCAAAAAGAAAAGCGACGATGATGGTGCGTCTACTACGGCCCACCGTTGTGGCTATACAATTCTTGATTGGACCACACTCATAATTTCAGTGATGGAAAACAGTACTAAGTTCTGCGTTGGTCGTTGGACCCGAACAGAAACATAGTATACGGTCATGCCCGAAAGCCCCAGAAGGACACGGTGAATCATCCAATTCGACGCCCTGACTAACCAACTTCGAAGATCCTGCGGTCGGTGCTTTCCAAGGACCTTTTCAGCTATTTTTTTTCCACCCATGACAGTATCGGATCTGACCGTCTGTTGCGTCCTTGCAGTCCAACGTGTTGGGCTCCTCAGATCGAGAAAAAGTTGTCCCCTCAAAGTCAGGTTCCCCGAACACGTTCAGCTTTCGCTTTATTTTCTGCCGTGACTGACTGCACGCCCTAACGCATCATTTCCGGTAACCACGGGAGATTTCGCATCTAGGTCGTTCAGAAATGAGTATTCCTGAGACTTCTGAGAATTGATATGGATTATCGTGCGGCTCCGGCGAGTAGCGCATCTCTCTGACCTTGGGCCCTACAATCGCCGAGGGTGTGTCATCTTACGTTTGTGTAAAGGCAAGCAAGATTGCATCCGATGTGTAAATATAGCTGATTTTGCTCAGTAACACCCTTTTTCATAGCATGCTGCATCACTTTCATGGGGTGGTTCTCTCGGACCGCTGAATTGAAATAACGTGCACGGGTCGGGGGGTAATGCGTTCTTTGATACCATTGGACTCAGCGGTGATTCGTTAGACGTTTTCCTCCTTGCGCTAACACAAAAGCTGACGTTCGTTTTGACAGACATACGACGGCGTCTTCTAAGTCAGGACCGATATCAGATTGAGTTTTCAATCACCAGTGAGGGTGACCGAATCGGCGATGCACGACTGGGGTAGGGGTGGGAGTAAGCATCGTCGCAAGTAAGCAGTTGGGTTGGGTTAGTCCGTGCGAGGAGAGTTTCCGGGTGTGCGCGTGACTCGGTCGGACGGAATGCCTGAGTCAGGTGCCCGAGACAGACTAACTATGATATCTGAGGGGTGGTGCCACTACTCGTTCAGGCCAAGGTACGAATACCATTCGCGGAGGCGGTTGCAGTGACATAAACCACAGTCATTGATCTCACACTGCTTTCTTGTTTCATGTGCTAATAATCCGATGTCATTGCTGGGTGGCTCCCTCTCTGGTGGCGCTGCGTCGGAATCATGTCACAGGCATTCCGCGGCGCTCCCCGTGCTCAGCAGCTGCTCCAAAAAATACATTTAAGGGGAGTGCTCAGTCAGCCTGGAGTCCCCACTACTAAAAATTACACTCAGAAATGGGAAACAAGCTCTCTTCCATCTCATCCAGTGACCGCAGGGTCCGTGCCAAGCAGGTCGACGACGAACCCGTCTTTGCCTCTCCTGTCGCACCCAGCCACCGGGATGGATCGCGATTATCGAGGTCTCACTCGTCGCACGAGACGCTCTGCGAGAAACACGTCTACCATCTTCCACGGCAGCCACCACCAACCCCACCCACTCCCCATCGCCCACTGGCTTATACACCCCTAACCGTTGCTTGCCCCCCGAGCAACGATGGTCGATTAGCAAGGGCATATCTCGCCTTCCTCAAGTCATTTCCAGAGTATCAGAGTACTTGGATACTCGATTCGCTGCGCCGAACAGACTTTGCGCGCCTAGATCGATCTGGGGAAACGTATGTGGATTACATGGGCGGCGCGCAGCATCCAGAGAGCCTCGTGCGTGCACACAGCGATTTCCTGTCAGAAAGCATTCTAGGGAACACGCATTCTGTCAGCAACAGGTAAATAAGCCCCAACATTTGAGCTGTGTATGGGCGACTTATCTTATCTCACAACTCGCACCCAGTTCGAAGCTTTCGTCCATCTGTGCCCACGATGCACGAGACGCCGTTTTGTCATTCTTTAGGGCTCCACCGGGATACACGGTCATATTTACTGCGAACGCTACCGGTGCACTGAAACTTGTCGGCGAGTCCTACCCGTTCAAGCAAGGAAGCTCCTACGTCCTTTGCGCCGATTCACATAATAGCGTGCATGGTATCCGCGAGTTTGCATCGCGGCATGGCGCGGAAGTACACTATATTCCTTCTATGCCTACCGGCGGCTTCGTCCTTTCTGCCGCAAAGGTAATGTCACATCCGTTTATATGCGCCCGCGATGTGCGCATTATCTCACCTCGCGCCGATAATATTGTAGGATATCTTGCAACAACATCATCCCAGGGATTCTGCGCCATCTCTCTTCGCAGTGACAGGCCAGTCGAATATCTCGAACACGAAAAATCCACTGGAGATATTGGCCCATGCGTCTGCGCTCGGGTACCATACTCTTCTCGATGCAGCAGCACTTGCACCCACCTCGACCATCTCACTTGAAAATACCCCTGTCGATGCAATGGCGATAAGCTTCTACAAGATGTTCGGTTATCCAACCGGTGTCGGAGCCCTCGTTGTCAAAGAATCCTTCTTGAAGTTGCTTGAACGACCGTGGTTCGCCGGAGGAAACGTGGACGTCGTTCAAGTACCTGGTACGCTCGTCACACGATCGGCAAGCCTGCACGAACGGTTCGAGGTATGTGCTATGCAAGTCAAATCTGAATACAGATGCGCCTTTTTCTTAACTTGGCGGTGGGTTCTTTCAGGACGGGACCATCAATTATCTATCTTTATCAGCCGTGACGGATGGACTACGATTTCTATCAGTTTACCTTCCTTTCCTTCCACTTCGCCTATCTTGCCTCATGCATGTCCTCACCTCTTCTTTAATACAAATGCGTCATGACAGCACTGGCGCCCCGGTCGTCAAAATCCTTTCAAAGCTGCCCTCGAAGCGACTAAAGTACATCGGCGAAGAGGCTGATTCGGGATCTACGGTCTCTCTCATATTTCTATCGGTATAAGTTGTTCCGTCATATTTTCTCAGAATGTATCCGCTGACTTTTCTACCGTTATTACCAGCCCTCCGGTGACATGATACCAAACTCTTTTGTTGAACATGTTGCCGTCTCTCACAACATATCGTTGCGTACAGGGTGTATGTGTAACCCAGGCGGAGCAGCAGCACTACTAGGGATCAAAGACCAGATGGCACTCCTCTACCCGGGTGTCACGCTCAAGGACTTTGAGCGGGTGGTTGGAAGGGAACTAGGGGTAGTCAGGATCAGCCTCGGTCTCGCTACCACGTTCCATGACGTATGGAGGGTGATCGACTTCGTGTCCAACCTTGCAAACGATCGAATCCGCCGAAAGTTGTGGGACGCTTGGATTAACGTTCCCGTTGGTCAAGCTATTTGATAGGCCCCCAACTGCTCGCTGCTACTACGACTATTTATATTCAGGCGGTGCCATGGAACATGTCTACCATTTCAGCCGGAAAAAGCACATCGGAGTGGATGTTACTGTAATGCTGTATATTACTGTGTATGATACCAACAACTTTAACTTGCTGGCCACTTACCATACTTCCCTTGCACGTTCATCATAATACGTTTTGCATATATTTTTCCTGCTGAATCATAAGAGGAAGCAACCACACCAGTCCACTACTCTTCATCTCCATCTTCCTCGTCTTCCCCTGCTTCATCCTCGTCCTCTGATACTTCTAGTCCAGCGTCTTTCATGCGTTCCTTATCGCGCCTTCGTTTCGTGTTCATCTCATCTAACAACACAAGCAAATCTTCCTGCTCCTTCTCGACACTCTTCCGTCTTGCTTCGGCAACCTGTACGGCGGCTTCCAGCTCTCCCACTTGGGATTTGAGTTCATTCGCCTATGAACGCCGCCGAATACATTACTTAAGGACAACACGGAGATGGAATATGCTGCGGACGGCATGCGCACCTCGGTGACCCCCGCGGACAAATCCTTGAGCTTACTATTGAGCGCATCGATCTCCTCGGCTTGGGCACGTATCACGTCGCGCAAGGAATCAATCAACATCATTGATTCCGCGCTAGGACCTAAGGGGCATAGGGAATACGGCGTTAATATGACGGCACGTATGAGAACAGAAATGGGCGGGGAGGCGGGGACGTCACGGTGGTACGTTTGACACTGCGCACGTACTAACCTGATGAAGTGGCTAGGCTGCTTGGATCGGTACCAAGAGCCCTCTGCACGGCGTCTGCGGTATTAATATTATCGTTCGTTCAACGTAAGTATTTAATGAATGTTCCATGTGCACCAACCAAGGGGCAGGGCAAGTGACGTAAACCATTCATCAGCGGTATTGAGGCAATGGGACAGCACAAACGCACATTGATTCGATTTCCAGAAATCAACGAATGCCCAGTCAAACCATATCTCGCCTTCTTGTTCTTGGGCTCGCCGATTACTCGCGAGCGCTCCGGGAGAAGTAGGACATAATAATACCATACACTCGGGTCCAACTGACTTGAAACGGTCGTCCTCCCGGACGCGCGTCATATGTCCAACCAAGGCATCCACTGTCAAACGACTGATAATGGCATGGATCGTCGATCTAGAAAGGGACAGGAACACAGCGATGGGAGCATAAGCATTTATCACGTTCATTAAGGGGAAAGGTGGAACGGGGTAGGAATGGGAATGGGAATGGAGAAGCACAAAGGCATTACTCACCGTGTGATCTCGCCTGGCTCGCGGTTAAACTCATAGCACACACCCAAAAGGAATGCACAAAGGCCTGGGACAAGACTCTCCGTTTCTGCCGTTTGATTGATCGGTTCCACCAACTATACGTCGGAGAACAAGGGCGCCACCGATCACCACATGAGACGAGTAGAACAAGTTAGGCAACGTGTAGATGAATCCTTCGTGATATGATTTCCTGCAGAAGAAATAAACGGACTTACTACGCCAAGTCCGCCAGCATCTAGAAACTCCTTAACAGATTTCGCATCTTCCCATAGCCACTGCACTAGAAGGCACAGGTAGCAGACTATGAGTCGGTCCCACTCTCGGACTTCTCTCTCGTTTGCCGAGTCTACTCGCGAACGTGTGAGGAAACATAGAGAAAGGTTTTCGCTCAGGAGTTGTAGAAGGCTTTGTGGAGCATCCTCGTCCTCGGGCTCCGTGACATTCACAGGGTCCGGCACGGCATCAGCAGGAACGAAAAATTGCCCCTGAGACTGCTCCGCAGACGGACCGGAAAAGGGAGGCTTGATTGACCGTGCTAATGACTTTGACCTAGAGGAGGAAGAAAGTAGAAACGAAAATAGGAGTGTCGCAAAATGTGTTGTCATGACGTTTGCAATGTTCAGAGGGGACGCTGGGGGGAGACAAAGAGCATGCAGCAGCGGCGAAACCGCTGGTGCGTCGGTCGACTCTGTGATAGGTAAGACACGTCCAGCAGTATTTCTTACCACTTACCTTGCGGGGAGAGCATTCCCTGCACTATTGCCTGTTTAATCTCGTCCTTACAAACGAAATTCTGCGATGCAATGTGTTACGAGGCAGACGCAGGCGAGAGAATGAACTACATACACCAAAGACCCCCAGCGCTGCTGCCCTCAAATCAAGGGAATCTTTCAAACGTTTGTCGCCATAAAGCCCGTTATACTCCCCGTGTAATCCAAGCTCAACCAGAGCGTCGAGCGCAGACGCAGGTTCTAACCTGTCCCATTCTTCGCCGTTGCTTTCTGGAACGGGCATGTACGGTGTCACTATAACATCAGCCAACGGGAACGCGAGATTGCTGGGGAGTAATTGAAGAGCCTGGTAGCCGTCGGAAGACGATTAGAATTGGCTACGGAATACGTACTCACCTGCGTCTTCAGGGATGTGGGTGCATTAGACGCCAAAGCAAGCTCTACCAGACACCGTATGAAAACATGAGTTTCCTGACTCTAAGAAAACAAGTAAGGGGAAAATGTAAAACCGAGCCAAGGTGGTACTGACGGTGGTACCCTTTGAACCGATGAGCATTCCCATTGTCCCAACCACCAGAGACGCATTGTGGGCTTTCTTCGAATCCCAGAATTGCAAGGCAAACTCTTGCGGTGGAGCATCCTGTTGCTGGAGTTTAAAGGGGAAGAGTAGAAAGGAGAATAACAAGGCTGGCAATGACGTCCCGCGAAAATAACTCTGAAGGTAGATCGTTGAGCACTTGCATCAGTCAAGTAGAAAAACACCTGCCTGGTTCGACGAGTTGAAACGCAACAAGCCGTCGACACAACGAAGTACGTCGTGAACTATCACGTCGCCCTCGATTCCGCCTTCCCGAGTAACAATTTCAAATAACTTTTCAAAAGCTCCTTCGAAGGCAAGAACCTTTTGGATATCTGGACTCTGTGACATCAAGGAATGGATCGTAGCAATGCTTTCTACAGAAACGTTCGTTAGCATGAATCACGTTCGCTTCGCTTCTAGAGACGCCGCGTGCTCAGGATACACGCAAGACCTCGCAAGCAGCACTCAGCACGGAGAATTTGCAACTCACCATTGCGGATAATTTCACGTCTGTCATCCACAACCGCTATGATACTCGAAGCAGCATTTGACGCTTTCAAAAAGTGATTCTGCACCACAGTCCGCTTGTTTTGCAAGAGAGTCGACAGCAACTGAAGGGTTGAATAGCGAATATAGAACTGCGAGTTGAGAAGTAACTTGAACAACGTGTGCGTAGCCTGCTCGTCCTTAAGGAAATAATCGGTGTGTTTGAAAGATATCTCCCGGTCCTTCTCTTTATCTTTTGCTGTCTCGTCTACCTCACAGAGGTGATGCAACGTCTCGAGCACAGCCTTGCCTATATCCGGGTCGACTTCGGCGTCATCTTGAAGGACTTGGATGAGACCTGGAAGCGCCCTGTCTCCAACATCTGCCTTGCAATCCCGAGTGAGACCCTTCAGAGCAAGGACTGCTGCACGTCTGTCAGCCAGAAGGGTTGAGGGAGACAATCGATCACTGAGTTTCGCGATGATGTCCACGGCCGATTGAGGAGCACCTGTTGGGCCACGTAGGGCAATGTAAGTCTGCGAAAAGAACTCCATCAGTGCTGCCTGGTGCCTTTGGGCTACTGGACACCGATGACCGTTGTCAGCGTGACGCGGCACTAATACCAAGTAGCTTGGTAGCTAACAAGCTTTACTGCAACTGAAATGTCGCGTCCGGAAGCACGTGACATGTTCAATGGCAAATCTAGTCGGACGATAGATGTTTTTTCTGTGACATATACGAGCAAGGACATAACAGCATCATTATCCAAGAAGCAATAATGCAGCTAGTAGGTACGCGATTGACTGAACATGGATGTCACTGGTGTGTAACCTCCCTTCAGTGAATTGTGCGGTCCTCACCGATGAGTGGTATGGACAGTGTGTTTGGAATTTGCAGAAAGTACTATCTCAAGAACTCGGAGAATTCGCTTGGCTTTCTCTCTGCGCACTTACATTAGCCGCGTCTTGTGTCTGGTAACATACCTTATGCAACCACTTCGACGGATCGTTCGGTGCAGACTTGATGAATCGCCTGCGCCACTCGATAGGCAACCGTCCTAACCGTCCCAAACTTATCCATTTACTAATCAAACACGTGGCGGCTGCGCCTGCCCAGGCCCACTTATACCGTGCTGAAATCTCGTGGTTCATAGGGCCTTACCACCTATATTCCACTCTCGCCGCCTTCGGGTAATACCTCAACAGTGGTGCAATGAATATTCAGAAACCATTCACTGAATTGAGCAAGCCACTGGAAGGTGGGGTCCTGGAAGACGCGGCCAAAGGGCCAACCGAAGCGATGGATTTAAAAGGCGGCTACCGTCCATCTTCCGGGTCATTGCAGGAATCCAAGGAAGTAAGTGTTATCTGGTATTGAAAAATACCAGGTGAATACTGAGTCATAGCCGGCATCTAACAACCAGCAGGGGGAGGCGAAATTCGAGGAAATGATTAGGGGTCTCAGCGAGGAGTTTCGCAAACTCAAACTCGAGAATGTCCAGCTGAGAACTTCTACTCAAGACCTACTGGCAGAAAATGCCGCCTTACGGGAAGCGATCCAGCAAGAACAAAAGGAGAACACTGCCCTCCAGCGAGCCCTTCGGAAGGAAGAGGAGGAAAGGTTGGTTGCACGACGTTTGTTAAATAGGGCACGGGAACGGCAAGAAGTGGTGCGCGTCATGGATCGACAAGCACGGACAGAGACGGATGCTCTAAGACGTCAGTTATCAGCCAAGGAGTTGGAAATCAAAGCGATCAAGAGAGAATCGAACGAAATGGGGCCAGATTCACTCAAGGTTACCGGATTACCGCAAGGATGTCAAGCCAAGATGGCCACAGAGGGTGACGTCCATTCACTTTTGACAGCCCTCAACACAGAAATCATGGAGACGTGTTTGGCCATTGTCCATTCTGAATCCTTTGCCTTCGCACGGCAACCTACCAAAAACATCGATGAGGAATGTTTTGATATCATAACTGAACACTTCCCGGAATCTGTGATGGGCTGGCTTCGTGAGCAACTGAGCAGCATCGATCACTTGGCATTAGAAATAGTGCTGAAGGACGCACTTGTGGCGGCATCATCCTGGGTCATCTCAGAACGGGATCCAGATCTTGAGGGCATCGAGCCCACAGGTAGGAAAGCACGTTTACTGAAAGCATGACATGGTGCATCTGACTTTCGCTCTCAGAGGTTCGACCTCCTAAGTTCTCTGATGGTACTACGGATCTATGGGGTTGGCTGGTGCACATCGCTGCCAGGGGCTCTCCATGCAATGCCTTGCGCCACACATTGCAACGGAGCATATCGAAAGTCCTTATCTGGACCGTGATGAGACCTGCCGGATATGTTTCCAATGACACAGTCGTTCATGAATTCAGCCTCAAGACAAGTGAACAGCTGACCACGATCATCGACCTGGCTTTACGACTCAATGAGATCCTCAGGAGGGGAGGTGCAAAGGAGCTATGGCTACTCCGGGGTGTTCCTGGCGGGGAATTTGACTCCAACATGATGGACGACTTTGGAGGTCTTGAAGGGAACAACCAAATAAATGGCACCGTAGTCGGTACAACGGCTCTTGGATTGTGCAGAGTTGTCATCCGCCGCGACATATACTCCGCCGAACTTCACCTCGATCCACTCATCAAGCCAAAGGTGGTCCTCAGGTCTTTCCTTGACAGTCTGCAGCCAGAGGACGAGGGCGAGGATGAAGATTTGGACGAGGCCCCAGTGGAAGATTTGGACGAGGCTTCGGTAGAGAACGCGGATGAGGATCTGTCGGATGATGCAGACGAGGCCTCGGTGGAAGATTTGGACGAGGCTTCGGTAGAGAACGCGGATGAGGATCTGTCGGATGATGCAGACGAGGCCTCGGTGGAAGATTTGGACGAGGCTTCGGTAGAGGACGCGGATGAAGATCTGTCAGATGATGCGGACGAGGCCTCGGTGGAAGATTTGGACGAGGCTTCGGTAGAGGACGCAGATGAGGCTCTGTCGGATGATGTGGACGAGTACTCGACTGAGGATTGGGGGTATCATTGATCCGGGAATTTTTGTAATCTTCACGATTTCATCGCGACTGTCGACTTCACGTTGTTATTCCTTTTCAGCCTTATGACCCGTCTCTACATCTGTTACACTACCTCTCAAGATTCACTCTTTGTAGGGCTGTCGTTAAGGTTGCTCTCGCGTATCTGAATCAGTTCTGCGTCACACGTCTCAATCCAGCGAGAGGCTCTGATGGTATTGCTTCTTAACAGATGAATCAAACATCTCTGGTAGTATATCGGATAGTACACCCGCCTGTCATCAGACTATTAAGACTGAGACCGCGGGAGAGCGGGGTTCGACTCCCCGCCAGAGAGATTTTTTGGTCGGACGTGTCCTATATAGCCCTTGTGCTGACTGAACTTACGAGCCCGTAGTACAACCTTCTTACATAATTCCCTCTGTAGTTTGTTATGTACTGTGGGCGAGTACGCGCTTCTCGACATATTGCTAACTGATACTACCACCTAACAGAGTAGATTGTTATCTATTAAGACTCTATGTTATTTGAATTATACATTAGTGGTGCTCAAAATAAACTGAGTTGGAGTGATTTTGGCGCTAAACCCTAGCTGAGTTGGCTGAGTTCGGCACTAAACCCTAGCAGAAACTTCAGCCGCGACTTTGACAAATTTCAAGTTCCGATTTTTCAAACCTCCGCTCACTTTGCGTTTTTGGAGTGCTGTGCTACACAGCATGACATCATGTCTTTTTATATTCAACATCTAAGTTCGAACATTCACTCGCGAGCGATATTTGTAGGGGGCAGCTCGGATATGGTATTAGATATGAGTAGATAACACTGTCCTCCTTCTGCCACAATGGTCCATAAGTCTGCTCGTCAAGAGACCCTAGAGATCCTGGGCGATGCAGCAGTCAGAGTTGCTGAAATGCAGTTGCAGCAGCTAGGGACTTACATGGAGGCCGACGACAATGACTCCAATTCTAGCATGTCAGATGGCGATATTGGCAGAGGAATGAGGACAAAGGGGGAAAGGGCGAGAGCTTAAAGACGAGCACTTGCCTTTATGATTGAATTGAGTGTTGAAAGTAGTTGGTATTGATAGTAGAGCTGTTGAGGCTCAAAGAGTTAACAGTATAAGATTGACTGCTAGTCTGAGGGGATACGGCAGAAACCCCTTGGTTTATATACATGCAGTTATGTGCACAGACCAGGTGATGCATATAGTAAGTGAACATACTAACTACTATGTATAGTAACGAATGTCATGGAATGCCGTAGAATAAGTGGAGTAAAGTGACGTCATTGTGGAGTCACTTATAAAGCATGACATCATGTGAGTCATCTCACATAGTAAGCAAGTCTAGAACCGGTAGTAATTATGAACAATTCCAACACTCCCGCTTGCTCTAGAATGGTAAGGTTACGAGACCAAGTGATGAGTGATTTGTTTCAAATTTCTGCCAGGTAAGAGATTTGGTAAGTCCATCGGCCTTTTGTTGGTCCATTTGGATATATTCAATGGCAAACATATTATCCTGTACACATTCGTGAACGAAGTGCCATTGGACATCTATATGCTTTGAACGACCATCTGACACTGGATTCTCAGCTATAAAGTGAGCACCCATATTGTCACAGTAGAGAATAGTTTTCTCCAATTTTAGGTCAAGTTCATCAAAAAGCATATTTAGCCATTTGATTTGTCTGGCAGAGTCACATAAAGCCATATATTCGGCTTCAGTGGATGAAAGTGCAATAGTCTTTTGTTTGCGCGATCGCCAAGAAATAAGGGAGGTGCCAAGAAACATGGCATATCCGGTAGTAGAATGACGAGTATCCACATTGGCAGCCCAATCGGAATCAGCGAATCCGAAGATGCGAGATTTGTTCCCAGAATAATAAAGCACAAGTTTCGGAGTAGAAGCCACATATTTCACAATGTGTAGCACTTTTTGTTTGTGATCTTCAGTTGGATTGGCCATGTATTGCGACATGCGAATAACCGTGAAAGCAATATCTGGGCGAGTTCCCAGAGCCATATAAAGTAAAGATCCAATGATAGATTGATATTGGGAGCGAAGTGAAGAAGAAGCTTGATATGTAGCTTCGGGTTTCTTTGGTTGGTAGCCAGAAGGAAGTGGAGTGTGGACATTGTGTGCATTCTCCATTTGGAATCTTTTGATCACCTTTTTGACGTAAGGGATCTGATCCAGGTAGATCTCGTGCTTAGCACGGTTTCTGTGGATCTGTAGACCTAGATATTCTTTGCATTCGCCTAGATCTCTTGATTCCCATTTCTTCATAAACTCGTCTTTCTTTGCTTTTAAAAGTTTAGGATGAGATCCTAAGAATAATCCATCGTCAACATAGACGAGAAAGATGACCATGCCTGCATTGGATTTAAAAATATAAATCCCTGCATCCACTTTTGAGCGAGTATAGCCCATGCGAAGTAGGGAAGCATGTAGGGCTTTGTTCCATGCTAATGCTGCTTGCTTTAAGCCATAAAGAGCGTGCAGCAACCGATAGACCTTGTGCTCTTGACCTTTAATTTTGAAGCCTTCAGGTTGTTCCATATAAATTTCTTCATCCAAACCACCATATAAAAAGGCAGTTTTGACGTCAAGGGTGCTCATTTCCCAGTTTCGTTGAGCAGTGAATGCTAAGACAATTTGCACTGTCTCAAAATGAGCGACCGGTGAGAAGGTATCTTCAAAATCTGTTCTGAATTCTTGTGTGAAACCTTTGGCCACAAGACGAGCTTTAAAGCGACCATCGCTTTTTATAGCGAAAACCCATCTGCATTTGACTGGTTTGTGATCTGGTTTTGGATCCACGAGAGTCCAAACATTTCTTTCCTCGATTGATTTTATCTCGTCCTTCATAGCATCGAACCATTTCTTTTGGAGCTCCGAATTGAGTTTTAGGACGTCTTTAAAATGTTCAGGAGACTCCTTAACACGAGCAGCAAGAAGAAATTCGAAGGTATTAGTGAAATACCCTTTTTGTTCTTCTTCTTCTTCTTCTTCTTCAACATGTGCAGTTCGAGAAGGACCTGCAACAGGTGGTGTAGGAGGAGTAGTTGAATCAGGTAATGGAGTCAATGGAGAACCAGGAGGATGTGAAATCCATTCGCAAGGAACAGAAGGAGCCTGTGGTCAAAGAGGTGATGGAGGTCTCCTTTCTTCCTGAGTTTGTCTCCTATATTCTCTTGAATCGCAAGCATGTTGCTCAGCATTCCTAATCCACTCCTGAGCAGTGTCTCTATTCTGCTGAATATCCCTCTCAATTTGAACAGGAGGTTTGTTCCCATAAACATTGTCTGGTCGAGATGTAGGGATTATTCTTCATTTAGGACGAGGTTCTCTTTGTTCAGCTTGTTCCGGGTTTGCCCTTCGCAGATTTCTATTATCACCGGGAACAGGGTATGGTTGGTGAGGGTGTTGAACAAGATTAGGAGGTACAGCAGGAGCTCTGTGTGGTCTTTGTGGTTGTTGAACTGGTCTGTTATGTTGACCACCCTGCTGTGGGTTTGGATTACGAGGAGGTTGTTGTGGATTCTGTGGTTGGACTGGATGAGGTCCAAAGTCGGGAGGATCAATCCCAAAGTCTGGTAGGTTTCCACCAGTATCGCTAGAACCAGAGGATTGGTCGTCTTCGGAATCAGGGTCACTTGAGGTATCAGATTTTCTTTGAATACTATCCGAACAAAATGGAAAGGAGTCTTCTACAAACTTGGCAGTACGAGATAGGATGATCTTTTGACCATGGAGAAATCGATAGCCTTTGGTTTTTGGTTCGTATCCTAAAAATATCATTTCGATTGCATGTGGGTCCAATTTATCCTTTCTCTGTTCTTTTGGCACCCAGACATAGGCTTTGCAACCGAATGTGCGAAAATATGCAATATCTGGAATCTTGCCAGTGAAAAGTTCAGCTGGTGTCTTGAATTGAATCCTCTTGAGCGGTGTTCTGTTGTACACATGAAGTGCACAATCAAATGCGAAGTTCCAGAACTTCTTTGGAACACAAGCATAGTGACGAATAGCTCCAGATTTTTCCAGAATAGTTCTATTGAATCACTCTGCACGACCATTTTGTTGAGGCTGGTCAGCTATAGAAAGCTGATGTGCAATTCCCCTTGAAGTGAGGAGCGCCTTGAAAGTGTTTCCCATAAATTGTCCCCCTCGATCCGAATGGAGAGCACCCAATTCCAGATTTAGTTGATGCTGCATAGCGAGCAACCAATTGGTAAAATGTTTGTAGGTATCGGATTTATTCCACATATAGATGCAGAAACCGAAGGAAGAATAGTCATCAAGTAGTGTGAGAACATACTTGGACCGGAAGTAAGATTCAATGGGAAGTTCCAATAGATCGGCATGAACGAGTTCAAGAGGTCTTGTTGCACATTTCCAAGAGGGTTTAAATGACTCAGAAGCCATTTTGCCCTGTGCACAACCTTTACAGGACTGAATTCCATGGAGAGGAATTTCAGGAAGACCTAATCGGCAAGTATGGTGTAAGATATTGTTGGCAGGATGTGCCAGCCGATTATGCCAGAGTGTTTCTTTATCCATTGTAACCATCGGGCAAAGGACCGAAAAAGCATTGGAGGGTGGAAGCGGAATGCCCACAAACCAATGTAACGGTGAATTAGGTGAAGCTAATCATGCTTCAACTAAAATCCGGCCGTCAGGTGTTCAGATTACTTCATTGTTTGAAGTCGCTTCGCTTCTATATCCCCTGTTTAGAAGCATATTTTGAGAGCATAGCCTCTTTGAAAATTGAGGGTTATATACTACTTGATCTAAGGAAAGAGTGGAGCCATTTTCTAGCTGCAACACTACAGTTCCTTCACTGATAAGATTGACTCTTTGTTGTCCAGCAGTATTAGCTGACTGCAGAGAAGTATATTTCTTGAATGACAAAAAGTCAGAATAATAAGGGGTCACATAATGTGAAGCCCCAGAGTCAAGCATCCAAATAGACTCACCTTTGGGAAGTATGATGTTGACTGAAGTATCAC